GAAAATCACATAAATACTCCAAACATAAACATAAATCATATTCCAAAAATTCTAATAAATACAAAAAGGATTATACACCTTCCAAATCAAATGATAAATTCTATACTAAACCCGAAAAGAAATATTACAAAAAATCACATCCAAAATCTAATTCTAATAAAGATATTACTTGTTATAACTGTGGACAAAAATGTCATTATTCTAATAAATGTAAAGAAAAACAAAAATTAAAAATAAGGTTAATCAACTTCAAATTGATGATATATCCAAAGATAAATTATATGAAATCTTCCAGTCAAATCAATTTATTAATACTTCCTCTTCTGATCATCAAAATACTTCATCTGATTCTGACTCCAATTCACCTAGTGATAATTCTGATAATAGTATTACCATAGGATGTAATGATGTTTGTTGCAAGCCAGTTAAACAAATCACTGTTCTTACTAAACAAAATCAAGAAGAATCTGCTCTTATTGAATTAATTAGCCGATTAGATGATCCAGAATTAAAACAAAAATATACTAATAAATTAAAATCCTTATTATCCAATCCTGATAGGAAACCTAAACCTGATAAACCAAGTTTATCCAAAACTTTAGAAAGATTTAAAAATAAACAAAAAGAAATTACCTTACAAGGTCTACAATCTGAAATTAGTCACATTAAACAAACTATTGAAGAATTACAAAGTAAAGATAAATATTTAGAAGATGAAATTATTACATTAAAACTTAATAAAAGTTTAGATAATTTCCAAGAAAATTATAATGAATCTCCTCATGAATCTGAACATTCTGAACATGATTCTGATCCTACTAATCCTGAAAATCTATTATTTGATAATCGATCACACCAATCTCATTCTCGTAATCTTAAAGATAAACGTTTAAATCTAATCAATAAAATTCATATTCAAAAATGGTATTCAAAAGTAAAAATTGTTGTTAATAATTTTGAATTAAATGTTATTGCCTTAATTGATACTGGTGCTGATCTTAATTGTATTCAAGAAGAATTACTCCTTACTAAGTATTATGAAAAATGTCATGAAAAGTTAGCTTCTGCTAATGGTAGTAAATGCATATTAAATATAAATTACCCAAAGTTCATATATGTCAAAATAATGTTTGTTTTAAAACCTTATTTGTTTTAGTTAAAAATATGACTGATAAAGTTATTTTAGGAACACCATTTATATTTTTATTATATCCATTTACTACATTTAGTGAAGGAATAACTACTCATGTTCTGAATCAACCTGTTGCATTTAAATTATTATCTCCGCCTGAACTATTAGAATTAAATCAATTAAAAGATGGTTCTATTTCTCATACTATTAATCGATTAACTCGTCATTTATGATATCTTAAAGAAGAAATTAATTATAAAAGAATTGATCAACAATTAACTGATCCAGTTATTATTTCTCAAATTAATGAGTTTAAATTAAAATTAGAAACTACTGTTTGTTCAACTTTACCTATAACATTCTGGCATAGGAAAAAACATGTTGTTACATTACCATATATTAAAAATTTTAATGAACGACAAATCTTGACCTATTCAAATGAATCATGAATTACTTGAAATGTGTAAAAAAGAAATTAATGAATTACTAAAAATCGAATAATTAGCCCAAGTAAATCACCATGGTCTTGTCCTGCTTTTTATGTTAATAAAAATGCTGAATTAGAACGAGGTGTCCCTCGATTAGTTATCAATTATAAACCATTAAATGCTGTTTTAGAATGGATTAGATACCCAATTCCTAATAAAAAAGATTTGATTAAAAGACTTAGTCAAGCTGTTATTTTTAGTAAATTTGATTTAAAAAGTGGCTTTGGGCAAATTCAAATTCATCCTAAAGATAGATATAAAATTGCATTCACTACACCCTTTGGTCATTATGAATGGAATGTAATGCCATTTGGATTAAAAAATGCTCTAGTGAATTTCAAAATATAATGAATGATATATTTAACCCATTTAGTCATTTTTCTATTGTTTACATTGATGACATATTAATCTTCTCCAAATCAATTATTGAACATTAGAAACATTTAACTGCTTTCTTTTATACAATTAAAAGTCATGGTCTAGTCATATCTGCTCCTAAAATTAAATTGTTTCAAACTAAAGTTCGATTTTTAGGATATGATATTCATCACAATACTATTCTACCAATTAGTCGCTCTATTGAGTTTGCGTCCAAATTTCCTGATGAAATTCTTGATAAAATCCAATTACAAAGGTTCTTAGGATCACTCAATTACATTGCTGAATTCTATAAAGATCTTAGGAAAGTCTGTCAACCTCTCTTTGATAGGTTAAAAGATAATCCTCCTTCATGATCTTCTGTTCACACTGCTATTGTTAAACAAGTCAAACACTATGTTAAAACTCTTCCTTGTCTTGGTATTCCTACTGAGAATTCATTTAAAATCATTCAAACTGATGCTTTTGATATTGGTTATGGTGGCATTCTTTTTCAGAAAGTCACTCCTTAATCATCTGAACAAATTGTTCGTTATCATTCAGGTGTCTGGAATAAAGCACAATTAAATTATAGTACTATTAAAAAAGAAATTTTATCTACTATTTTATGTATTAGTAAATTTCAAGATGATATTTTAAAAATGTAGTTTTATAAATTTCTTTAACTGATAATTTTGGTATATTCCAACTTAAATCAATTTTATCATTTTGTATTTCTATTTCTTCTTCATTAATTACTAATCCTTGATTAGGTAAAGAGGGCAAAGTTATTGATAACCTAGAACTGACTGAAGAGTTACTTCTAAATAATCGATTCATTTTTCTTTTAATTAAACTGTTTTATAGGAATCTTAATACATTGTCTAAATTTATCATGTTTTCACATACGTTGTGTTCGTACATACCCTATTCGGAAGACCCCTAAAATCCAACCTGCCTAACCAAAGGACTTACCATGGATTGGGACAAAAGTGGGTGAATAATAACAACGTGGAAAGACACAGATAATTTTGATAGATTAAGATGACTGACAACAGATTAATCAGAAAGAAAATAGAATTGATTTATCAGAAGTAGCAAAGCAGTAAACAATAGAGAGCAACATAACTTGGCTCTGATACCAAAAAGGGAAGCAGCACAGAAAGGAAGAAGAGTATCAATAACAGAAACAGAGTTGGAATAATATGAACACAAAATTATAATTAAAATATTTAATTTAATTACAAATACTGAAAGTAACTTATAATTACAATTGTTGCAAATGCAAGGATCTTTAATAGGGTACGCGAAGTGTTGATTCTCACTCAAAACTCTCAGGTTTTTTCTAAAACGAAGAATGCTGAATGGATACATTTGATTACAATATATAGAAAAGAAAATTAACTATGCAGCATGTGACTGGGTTGATTGAGTGAAGGCAGCTGGCAGCATTGGAGACTGAGCAGGCTGTCGGTTGCTTTCGGTTGATTGATTGAACAGTTTATTATTATTATTATTATTATTATTATTATTATTATTATTATTATTATTATTATTATTATTATTATTATTATTATTATTATTACATATTTATATGCAAGGATAGTGATTAAAAAAAAGAAAAGAAACTTCATTAATTAGATTAGATAAGCTACGATCAGCAAAATACAAATAAAACAAAAATAAAAAAATAAAAATACTACGGGCAAAAGATAGCCCTTACAAATCCAGGTTAACTCTTACAACAACAATTCTAAACTAGGCAATTTTACATGTAAGCATACAAAATAATTGGTTAGGCTAGTTTGTAACTCCCTTAAGACCTCTAAAATAGCCAAGGAAAGTCTCTCCTTACAAGGACCTCTGGCTCCCACGTGACTTGGAAAAGCCCCATGAATCGCCACAACACCCTCACGAAGACAACAGTTTCTTGCACACAATGTCCTAGCAGCTGCACCAACTCCTCCCAATAGATCCTCCAGTCTTTGAAGTCCATTGACCCATCTCTCTTTATAATTCTGTTTGGATCGGGCATGATATACTGAAGGCTCCAAATGTCAAAAAAGTTGCCCATCCTATCAGTGAAACCATCTAGGAAAGGGCCTAGTTGATATAACCAGGGAGTCTCTTGCCTTAAAATTTAGACAGGTCTAATGTAGGCACCCACCCAACTCTTAGATTTCCAAGCACAACCTCCTAGGGGATAAATTCTAACATATACAAATGAACCAACTTGCAGCCCATTTCGAACATCCTAATTGTCAAACATGGCCCCTATATCTCCAGTGCTCTCATCAGTATTGCCCTCTACAGATTCCTCTTCGTACACTACAAAAAAATTGATTTTTTGCGACGGTAAAATGCCGTCGCAAATACTCAAAATGCCGTCTCAAAAGGTTTTTTGCGACGGTAAGTGGCCTTTTGCGACGGCACGTGGGGGGTCGCAACAGAGGGGGTTGCAAAAGGGCTTTAGCGACGGTATTACGCCGTCGCCTTTGGTTTGCGACGGCAAAGAAGCCTTTTTGCGACAGAAAAATGCCGTCGCCATTAACCGTGAAAATCTGACTTTTTTTTGAGACGGCACTGTTTTGCCGTCACTGAAAGGGATATTTGCGACAGCACAAGTACCGTCGCTAAAAGGTTATTTGAGACAGCACTTGTTGCCGTCGCTAAAGTTCTATTGGCGACAGCAAATTACACCGTCGCTAAAAGTCATCATTTTCAACCAAATACCTTATCTTTTGCGACAGCATTACTGCCGTCGCAAAAAACCCCTATTTGAGACGGTGAATAGGCTGCCGTCTCAAAAAAATAATAATAAAATAAAATAAAAAATAATTTATATATCATATTAGATAGATATATGTGCTTGTGTATATGGTATAATAATTTTTTTTTTTTTGCCTTTCTAATGATGAAATTCGGATTCCATCCCTATATATACATTATCAAAATACCTTAAAATTGATGAGAAATAATGAAATATTGAAGAACTTTGGCGACAAGAGAACTGCCCTGCACTACAGGCAATGTATATAACCATCTGTCATTGTCTATCCTTATTTTTTACAGCACATCAGAGCTTCTTTTCCAAGCTATTTTTCTTGTACTCATCTCTAACTACCACTTAACACAAACACTAAACTGAGTATAACCCCTGCAGCAACAGCATGAAGAATACGGTCCTTGCACTTCACATATCTGATACAGACCAAAGATATGCTTCGCTTTCCGTGGCCTGTTTCTCATTCGTCCTTTTAAAGATTTCCTTTTCAAACCCTACAAAACAAATGGAGAGTAAAATATAAGCTGAAGGCATTTTGGGGGCAAAAAATACATCTAACTGAAGAAAAGAGGTGCAAGTAAACAAACCATTACTACAATCGACCCCATCCCAGTGTCTCCCTGGTCTGATGGCATACCGGTTTGGAGGAGCATCTAATCCTCTTTTTAACCAGCTGTGACTAGGAATGTCTTGAGGGACTATAAACCCTGATTCTTTCATCTTATCATCATCTCCTAGGTCTGATAGAACAAGCTCAGGATACTTTTCTGAAACATTGAGGAACAATTCAAAAATCAGTACAAATTTTGGCATTTCAGCAAACTAGAGTCTACACGCACGCAAGTCACTACTAGTTACCTTGACCAAATGTGCCATAGGATCACCCCATCTAACTCTCACCTTATACATTCTGTCATGTTCTGGATCATCTCTGCAATACAAAGGATGTGTACACATAATAAGTTAGGTAATTGAAAAGAAACCATCATTTTCTAGTGATTTGACAGACAGACAGAAGATATAATAAAATAATGCATCAGATCAGATCAAGCAACTTTACATTAGATGCTCCATAGTCAACAAATGACATCAAAACCAAAAAAGATCGGATGATATGTGTACCAAGTGCTTTACATCATCGGAGAAGTCATATTATATATATCAAACTAAGATTATGAGGGCGTAGCTATGAAGCACGGGTACGGGTACGAGTACTAGTACTGGTACGTCGATACAGTAAAATTTTTAAAAAATAGAGTACGGGTACGGCTTGGTACACCTGTAAAAAAAATATATTTATTTTTAATTTAGAGTAACGCAAAAATTAATTAAATGATTCAATTTGTTAAGGTCCAACCTACAATTAACATTTAATGTCAAAAGTAAAGGTATAAAGCAAAATTGAATGCCAATATATTAAATAACTTACAAACCATAGTTTAATTTTAAAATCATAGAAGTTTAGTAAGAAGAAAATATTGTTTTAATTGAGGTACGGTATGGTTATATACTAAATATGTCATGGTATGTCAAAAATTAAGAAAAAATTTAAGTGCACGTTTTGTGTACCGGTATATATGTAGAAGTACATAAGAGATAGTACGGCATGCTTTTTTGAAGTACCATGTTTTATAGGGGCATAGCAATGAAGTGTCATACGAGAATCCCCCACTAGAAAATAATTACTAACTATTACTTCAAACAAAACATGCATAAAAGGCCATCACAGATATGAAGCTTAGCTTCACCAGTTACCTTCTTTTTACTCCTTTCCTTCCCCCTTTTTTTTTATCCTACTAATAATATCTTGTTTGCATAGCTAATAAGTCGACCGACCTATGATTCCCTCCTTACAAATAAATAAATAGCACTCTTCATAGAGAAACAACAAGAAGCAATTTCAGAATCAAACCCTTAAAAAAAATTCACAAGCAATTTCAGACAACAACAACAATCAAGCAAGCAAGCAATTTCAACGCAATCAAGCAATTTCCAACAAATTTTAAGAGCAACCAAGCAATTTAAAACGAATTTTGAACCCCAAAAGAAATACCTGGATTTCGACCTTGTTTCGATTTCAGACGAGGGATCGTACAGGGGGTCCGTGATGAGCGATGAAGATCGAGAGAGTGATAGAGAGAGAGACGACTGATTTGTGAGTGATCCCAACATTCAAGAGAGAGAGAGAGAAAGAGGTTTAAGGTAGGAGAGCGATCGGTGATGAGAGAGAGAGAGAGAGAGAGAGAGAGGGAGAGAGAGAGAGGTACCTGGGATGCTGAAAGTGGAGAGGTACTAGCACTTATATATAAGTTACGGCTTGCGAGTGATTGGATGAGAGAGAGTTGGGATCATAATAGATAATTTCAGTCTTCATCTCAGTCGTTGGATTATGCATTATTTATATATTTAAATAATATAAATATAAATCATAGTAAAATTTATTTATATATCAATAATACTAAGCTAATTATAGATAATATATTTATATAATAGTAGTGGTAGATATTAATAACATCATTTTTATAAGTAATAATGCTACATGCACAACTTTATAGAAACGTGCGCAGAAAAATCAATGTGTGTTTCAAATTCATCTTACTTGGCAACACATTTACTTTTTTGTGCTATTTTTTTTTAAGAATTATGATTAGGACTCTGCTTGGTTAGTAATAATAAATTCGAAATCAATAACTCACCTCTACAATGCATGTCCCACAAGTTCCTCCTCCCCCACAATTTAGCAGAGGTCTGGACTGAAAATTCAAAACACATAAACCATATTTCAGCTATTCATTAGCTCAAATACTGCACTTTCAGTGTATCACTTTGAATAAATTGACAAGCAAAATTGATATAATGAACTAAAAAGACAAAATAGACACGAGGCAAATTATAGGAACAGTGGGTATAATTAATCATTTTTTTTTTTCACTTTCAAAAGAAAACAATTGAGCCTTTCTTCACTTTCAAAACTTGTTAATGTAGTTGCAGAATGTGAAAAGAGAGAGGGGGGCCTTACTTACATATGGTCCATACAATTCAATATTAGAATCCAACATAATGTCCCTAAGTTTCTGCCCACCACAAGCTACTCGAAAGTGCACATCCGGTGTTCCATCAGGAAGAAATCAGATTTCCTCATGTCTAAGTCCCCAAACTACTCATGTGAATGCACTAGTCATAAACTTCAAGAATTTAGTCAAATCAGCAAAATTTAAACCAAAAGGTTTAACACAGATTGGTCTACACACAGGTAGAGTAGAGGGACAAGAACCCTAGTGATCAAAGGTCATATCTCCTAGACCTATAGTCATAATATGAAAGGAATTAAATCCTAACTGAAATTATAAAGAAATGTAGACATACAGAGAAAGTTGACAGAAGCAGAAAAATTCACGACAGGAAAATTGAAGTAATGTCAGCCTCACTGAAGAAACGATCAGTATCAATTTGACATAAGTAGAAGGGACACTTCAAAGAGGAGCCCTTTCGTCACAAGTCAAACACCAACACTTTCATAACACCGCTAGCAACATTTGCACAGGTCGATAATTCAAATTTCGTAATTTTTGGATGCTTGGTGATACTTCACAGACACTGTTCACTGCATGACATCAAACACATGGACTATACTGGGTCAAGCATGCAACAGACAAATAAATTTTGAAGAAAAATACAGTCGCAAAGAAAGTAATAAAATACAAGCTTGGGACACCATTTTTCAGGTACAGGTAATATGCCGCCTTCGAGATCTTAGCTTGGGAGGTTTTGGAGTTGAAGACTCCCTTTTGTTATTCGTTTTGATGTTAAATGTATATTCAAGCCTAGGGCTTTTTATGTATAGAGCTAGGACTCTTTTGTTGTAACCAAGTGATGACTTGGAAAGCTGTAAGCCCGTACGGCATCCATTTTGTTGCGATTATGTAATATCCATCGTAATACAAACTTTGATGAATGAAATGATGATATTTCTATCATGCTTGATGGATTTATTGAATGGTTGGGTTATGTCTTATTTTGAGGGCGTCACAACTTGGTATCAGAGCATATTGGGTTTGAATACTTTGGGTACGTGAGAAGTGGTTAGTACCACAATGGGTTTGTCTCGCTTGTTTGAGACTTAAGTGTAATTTTATGTGTTTATATGATAACATGTTTATATGACTATGTAGGTATGAGATTTAGTTTCTAGGATGTTGATCGGGTCCATGGGTTTCTAGGAGTCCTGTTGGAAAGGCACTTGATCACTGTCGTTTCTAACTGAAACTTTAGCAACGCCACGGGACGGTCATTATCCAGAAATGAAATTCATAAGTGTTTATGTGATTATGTGATTATGTGGAGTGAATTACTGTTGTCCATTGTGTTAGGACGCGAGTGAAATAGTTTCGGCACATTTGTGAATGTGCTAATCCCTTTGTTACCTTTATTAGGATGTCAGGACGAGGTCGTGGTGGTAGGCTTGGTAGGCCTAGGAGGCAGGAGATACCTATACCGGATGAGATTCCGGCGCAGGAGGAGAGAGTTGGTCAGGCCAACGTGGCCGAGCCAGTAAGTCAGCAAGCCATAGGCGCCTTAGCCTGTGAAATGGCCAGAGCATTGAGGGAATCTATGGACATTCTCAAGGCTGAGAATCAAGTCCCGGCCCAAGTAGCTGAGGCAGGGCCGTCTTTTCTGAAGAGAGAGTTCTTTCGGTCGAATCCGGATGAATTTTTGGGTGATCCTAAGGATCCACTAAAGGCGGATGAGTGGCTTGAGCAGAAGACGAAGACGTTTGAGATGCTTGGCATCGAAGATGGGGGCTTGCGAGTGACCTTGGCGTCCTTCCAGCTGAAGGGGGACGCGGATCAGTGGTGGAAGTATGCGCGGGGGCGCATCAGAGGGACTTGGGAGGCCTTTGTTGAAACTTTCCAGGACAAGTTCTTGCCTGCTACAGTGAGGGAAAAGTTGAGGGATCAGTTTTCGTAGCTCAAACAATTGAACACACCAGTGGCTGAGTTTGAGGCCACCTTTACTAGCTTATCTAGGTTTGCACCGGAATTAGTGGCGACTGAGGAACGCTGTTGTTTGGAGTTCGAGAAGAAACTGAGGACTGGACTAATGTTCAGAGTTGCCGGGTCCATGATTAGGGATTATGGGCGCCTTGTGGAGGCTGCAGCCCATTTTGAGACCATTATATATGCGGAGGATGAGAGGATGAGGGGCTCTAGGAGGAGTTAGGAGGGCTAGGGGAACGGTAAGAGGCACAGGTGTTCTAATCCTCAGCAGTCCTAGGGAGCGCATTCGAGGTTTGCCTTTCCAGTACCGAGTTTGGGTTTTGGGAGAGGCGGTCAGAGAGACATCGCCTGTTACAAATGTGGTCAGATGGGCCACAAGTCTCCAGTTTGCCCACAGAGAGGAGGAGGGCAGCGTGCAGCATCATCTTCGGCTCGTTCTCAGGGCCAGAGTCAGGGCAGGGGCCAACCGCTTATTATTATCAGTGTGGGCAGGCGGGGAACTTAAAGGGGTTTTGTCCGCAGTTGAGTGGCATATCTGGTGCGTCTGGTTCGAGGCAAACACAGAGTTACTAGCCAGCGCAGTCAGTTCAGGCCTCAAGGGCCAATTAGGGAGCCTCTTTGACTCAGTCTGTGCAACAGTCTTATGCTCCGAGAGGTGAGCAGGTAGATCAGAGACCTTCAGGGCGCGTGTATGCTGTTACAGCGTCGGATCTTGTACCGGCTCCATTTGTTATGAGAGGTACCTTTTTGTTTTGCAACTCGGTTGCTAGTGTATTGATTGATACAGGTGCATCCCACTCTTTTATATCTTCTGTATTTGTATCTGTTTTGGGATTGGAGTTGGCGCAGTTAGCATCTCTTATTTGTGTGGTATCACCTATTGGGGGTGAGATGGTTTTGAAACAGGGGTGTCGGGGTTGTGATATAGAGGTCGCCGATCGTCGGCTTCCCTTTTCTTTTGTGTTGATGGATATGTTTGGGTTTGATGTAATTTTGGATAGCGACTGGTTATCATCATACCGAGCTATTATAGATTGTTACCGCTAGAGGGTTACTGTATGTACCTTGAGCGGCGAGTGTTTCTATTTCTTAGGAGATCGGGTTGGTAGGGTTTTACTGCCAGTGTATGATCTGCGAGGGAGGAGTGAGCTTAGTTGTCTTCTTGCTAGCTTTATGAGTAGTGAGTGTGATGAGACTTGGACTGAGTTGCCAAGGGTGGTTTGTGAGTACTCGGATGTTTTGCCCGAGGATCTTATTAGTTTACTACCCCATCGAGAGATCGAGTTCTCTATTGACTTAGTGCCTGGCACGGCACCGATTTCCATGGCACCGTATTGTTTTGCCCTAGTCGAGTTGAGTGAGTTGAAGATTCAACTCCAAGAGTTACTAAACAAGGGTTTTATTCGCCCTAGTACTTCGCCTTGGGGAACACCGGCCCTCTTTGCTAAAAAGAAAGATAGGGCTTTGAGACTTTGTATTGATTACCGAAAGTTAAACCGGGTTACGATTAAGAACAAGTACCCTATGCCTTGTATAGATGATTTGTTTGATCAGTTGAATGGATCTCGTTGTTTCTCCAAGATAGACTTGAGATCGGGTTACCATCAGTTAAGGGTCTGGGAGGAGGATATCCCGAAGACAGCATTTCGTACGCGGTATGGCCATTATGAATTTCTGGTGATGCCTTTTGGGCTTACCAATGCATCGGCTGTGTTCATGGATTTGATGAATCGGATCTTCCAAGAATTCTTAGATCGTTTCATGGTTGTCTTTGTGGACGACATTCTGATTTATTCAACCTTCTATGGGGGAGCACGAGGAACACTTGCGAGTGGTGCTTGAGTTGCTTAGAGCCCATAAGCTATATGCTAAGTTTGGGAAGTGTGAGTTTTGGCTAAGAGAGGTTAAGTTCTTAGGCCATGTGGTATCCGGGGAAGGGGTGACCGTAGATTCATCCAAGATAGAGGCAGTGCAAGATTGGGCACAACCTAAGAATGTCTTCGAGATCTGTAGTTTCTTGGGGTTGGCCGGGTATTACCGTCGGCTTGTGAAGGATTTTTCCAGGCTAGCTTCGCCTTTGACTAGATTGACGTGGAAAGGGGTCAAATTTGTGTGGAGTGAGACTTGTGAAAAGTCCTTCCAAGAGCTTAAGGTTAGACTTACCACCACTTTAGTCTTGATTATTCCAGAGAGG